CATTTGGTTGCCATGACGACAGCGTTTCTTTATGTGCGCGATTAAAGCGATGAGCCCCGTATGTGCGAGGCGGGGCGGGGCGGGGCCGGGCGCGGTGGTCCGCCGTGTCAGGCGGTGGCGGCGGTGCCCTGCCCTGGCGGTGCCCTCCGGGCGTGCACCGGAACCAGCGTGCGCCCCCGCATTCCCGGGGTATATGCAAATGAAAGAGCGGAGGCGGCGGTGGCGCTGGCGGTGCAAGTGTTTGTGTGGGGGAGGTTCACCGGGGGCTCCAGTACCGTTGGCCAACCTGAACCTCTTTTCCTTTACGCGATCCGCTTTTCAGGTTAAGTTGTTTGACCTGCTAGCCGTGGCCCACATTAGTTTTCATTCATAGCAGATACATTTTATTGTGAAACACTTGTATTTCACATTAAAACTAACAATACTAGCGATAGTAACTGACAATACATGACCTCTGGGCCTATGGACTACAGTACTTCCTCGCGGTGTGGCGCCCCGTCGCGCGGTGCATCCAAATCGAATTAGAACGCTAACGGAAGCACGCGGCGCAGTTTCTTTCTCTATTCTTTTCCCCTTTTCTGTCTTTCTGTCTCGGATGTCCTATGGCCTCCCTTGCTTGGAGTTTCAACAGCTGCGCGCGGCGTGTCCGGGGGTTGTCGTCACGTCACGTTACCCTCTTTACCTCAAACCCGTACAAAAAGGTTTCGTAACCGACATTTTGCTGTATTTCAGTCGTTTAGTCCTTACGTGGTACGCATATATTTCGTTTAACGCAAGTTTCACCTCTGCTGTATGACTCGCTGTTTGAAGTAGTGTACTCTAAACAATTGTAGAACTACGAACGAACAATATGCACACCTGCAAGTATTAAGTAGAGTTCTATTGATGTGGCCCCAGGCGTATCGTCACTGTCACTCAGAAGTCCGGCTCGCTTATCCGTCCACCTGTTAGAATTTCAAAGGACGGGACTTTGTGTCTTATATGTTCTTAAAGAACATTACTACCGATTACTAGGGTACCTATATTTTTCCTCAAAGCGTTGAAAGCATAATAAGAGCCATTAATAAAACAAGAACAAAACAATCGAAACATAATTCAGTCATTTGTTGTTGTTACTTTTTTTTGTGCAAATTCTGCACGAAGCGCGTGTGAGCGCCGCCATACATTCTACTCAAACAGGACAGGGTGCCCGTTAAAGAAGCACTCGGGGTAATGGGTGTGTTGCGCGACTGGCGCGACCTATCCCTGGCCCTGCAGCCCTACGTGACTAGGTCTCTCTCTCTCTCTCTCTCTCTCTCTCTCTCTCTCTCTCTCTCTCTCTCTCTCTC